ATTTTAGTCGTTTTCCTCATAATCTGTGTAAGGGCATACGGCTGCAATGAAGTCCTCATATCGTGTACATGCACGAGCGAAAACTATCAAAGATACTAGAGGGACATTTAAACTCATAAGTCGAAAAAATTGACAACGCCATGGCTAAAAAAGAAAAAAAAACAACAGACAAACAATAGTGCACAAAGCACAACATAAACACTAAAGACTGAGCAACACGAACCCCACCAAAAACTGGCTGTGATCTCAGGTGCTCCGGAAGGGTAAGCAGGACACCCGTCGATTGAGATATGTAAACGCAATATGAGGCGAAAGAGGGTATGATACTTCAGTGAAATAGGGAGTTCACTATTGGAAAGCTGAAATCATAACGTTTGTTATAGATTCTAGTTTGAAGTCGACTTTTTGTGTCAATATTGAGGAAAACATCAAAATATGAAGCAGACGTTCTAATTTCGGTAGCATTAAGTTAACTTATCTCACATAAATGCTGGTTATAAAATGACAAGAATTATCAATATATATTTTAAAGTGAAATTAAAGATGGTTTGTTTTTGTCTTTGAGAAGGTTTTGTATGAATACTGCTGCTTCAGATGAGCACAAAAACAAGTCGGTCAGTAGTGGTGCACAGTTAGTACCCATATGAATACAGATTATCTGATGAAATATTAATAAAACCTCAACAAATGTGTTGTCGATCAAAAAGTCCAGCATTTTGATAATATCGTCCACGGTGTATTTGTTTTTGGATTCAGTGCGGTTCTTCACAAAGTAAGATTTTTAATGACCTAAAACAAGAAATTTGCTAAAATGTTCTTAAGTTAGTATCTTCATATCTTTTTAGAATAATAATAACCAGATAATGACTGGAATGACCATGTGTGCTTATTTCATATACTCTGAGTAATGTGGTTTAACTTTCATGTCCACGTCTGAAAGCACATAAAAAGGGTTAAATATTTTGTCAAAGTATTTTGATAGTTGAATTTCATATATTTTTTCAAAGATTTCAGAAAAGATGGGTAAGACACTAACTGGTCTATAGTTTGTTTTCAATAATGGGTTACTCTTTTTATGAAGGGGTCACTTGGGCTTCTTTTAGTTTATCAGGGAAACAGTTATTTTCAATGACAAATTGACAAGAGTAGTTAGCTGAGGTGCAATATGAGATTATAATTTTTTACAATTTTTGCTGGAATACCATCAGCTCCTGTAACCTTGTTGATGTTTATTTTTTTTTAAAGATTCTTTCGACATTTTCGTTAGTTACTTTCTTGATCTCAAAATCAGAAGCATGCTCTCATTTACTCAAAATCTATTTTATTTTTGGATGGTTCCAGATTTTACAATTAATTGAGATTCAATTTTGTCACATGACTTTTTTTAAATGTTTTGATTGGGCTAAATGTATGATATTTTGGAATATTAGATATTTCCTCCCGCCAAGCCCGTTTGTGTGAAAAGGTAGTTTTTACATTACGACATTTTGAAGTCCAGCGACGATATCATGTCTTTGGTCGTTCCAACTTAGATTTTTCAGGTAGACGAGATAAACAGTGTTTAACCATACAAAAACTTTAAAAATTAAAAACCAATTGTTCAGTGAACAATTGAAGGTCTTTCCACAGCAATTTTCAAATTTATTGAAAAGAAGCTAGTTCTTGTTTACTCAAAGTAAAAATTGGCATCTTATCAGTTTCTTCATACTGATGCGAAAAATAAGTGGTTTCTATATTCTTCTGAGTGAAATAAGGGAGATAATTAGCTACTTCTGGTGAAGTAAATGTCACTTCCGGTCTCATATGATAGTTTATTTCACACTTATTCCAAAAATATAGTTTCTGTATACTTTTGCCTGTAAACCAGGAGATAATTGGCCACTTCCGGTTTATCGAAAGTCATTTCTAGGCTTTAGTTAATGAATTAAAATTACAAAATATATGGATTCCGAGTACTTTTCCATGAAGAAAATGCAAAAAATGGATACTTCCGGTTTTCTGAAGATCACTTCCGGTTGTCATTTCTCAAGGTCATATGTCACCCAACCTTTTGTAAAAGGTCATAAGGCTTTATAATGAAGTAATAATCAATTAACCTTATAATTAGACATTTCAGAGGCACTAACTCCTATAAGATACCATTAGATTGTTTCAAACCAAATGTAACATATCTTCATTACAATAAAGCAAACATTTTGCACTTGTTTCTTCATATATAGCTTTAAAAGTGTTTGAGAAAATGCAAAAACAAGGAAAAGTCCAAATTGAGAACTTGACCTTGACCTTTGACCTTGACCTCATTTTCTACGTTAGGATCTAGGGACCTCAAATAAAAATATTTCATGGTTGTACGGTTAATGGTTTATGAGTTGAAAAAACATACCGACACATTTATTTGGTAAAGGTAGATAACTCCTATAAAATTTCATCGAATCGCTTCGATCCAAATTAGTCAAAAATTTCTGAGGATGTAACGAACAATTTAGAAAAAGAATTTTGTCGATATCTTGTTTTGTTACAAAGGAGATGCACACACTTGATAAACAGTGAATAGGGAGATAACTCTTACAAAAAAAATTGTTCGGCTTAGAATGTGTAAAAATAACAAGCGCATAAACTGTATGATACTATATAAGAAATATCTTAGCGACATATTGCGAAACAAAAATTTTACGCGAGAACAAAATTTAGCGGAAGGAAAACATAATAATAATCAGAACAAATACAATAGGTCTTTCCACAGAAAAGTGGAAAGACCTAATAAGCTTATTACATTTTCTGTGTATGCTTCAAGCAAATACTAGTACATGACAATTTGGACCAAAAACAAGGTGGACCAAGACAGATCTGACCATTTTAGGATAACTCGGACCGCCTTTAAAGACAACGAAGACCAACTTAAAAATATAACTATAACCAATTTAAAAAAATAATTCGGATCACTTATGACAACTGTCTTCTATTTGTTTCATTTGCTTTATTCTTTATTTTTATACTATTTTCCCGTCTATTCTTTATTTATTTTCTTTATTACTATTATCTACTCCTTATATTTCAACACCCAGATTTCCTCTATTCTTTTTGTTTTAGCCTATTTTTTTTGTTCTTTATTTTTTTTTCACTTTATTCTGCATTTTTTGCCCTCATTCTATATTCTGTAAACCCCTTACAGACCCCTTCCGAGCCGACTTAAAATCTAGTCCAAGCTGACTTAAAATCGAGTCCGACCTGCCTTTAAAATTAGTCCTAGTTGTCTTTCAAACTGGTCCGAGTTGTCTTTTAAAACGAGTCCGAGTTATCTTTAAAAGTGGTCCGAGTTGTCTTTAAATTAATCCGAGCTGTCTTGGAAAGAGTTGTCTTGCGTTATATTATAATACAATTTTTGAATTTGTTTTTATAGTTTGTTTATTTATTTGTTTTATGACAATTTGTCGCATTTGTGACTTACATGACTAATACAGTCTCTTAGTCCCAGGTTGTCTATTCCTTCTTTTTTTAAATGTCAAAGAGTACTAACTCATTTTATTTTTTTAAAAACCATTATTTATTAAAAGGCTTATTGTATTTCGATACTATGCGAATAAAAGTCTTTAATTTTTGTATCAAAAGAAACATTTTGTTTTATGGTGTATAACAGGAGTGATTTATATTGTACAGTGTGCCATTGATTACTTGTTAATACTACAAAAAAATGAGAGACATACATAATTTATACGAATTTTTACGAGCGTACGTTGATATATATATTCAATATATTGCCGATTATATTTTATCCTTCATGAGCGTCTGGATGAGGTTTACAGAAAAGATTATAATGGGCCAACACTGAGAAAAAAAATGGGTAAAAAAAATTAAAAATAGAGAATAATGAGGTGCTAAAATATAAAGAATAGAGAATAATGGGCAAAAAAGTAAAAGAATACAGAAATTTTACTTTTTTGCAATGGCTTGGTCAGTTTGTTTTTGACATATGAGTTTGAAAATCCCTTTAGTATCTCTTATAATGAAGTCAATATAGGGTGAGCATGCATGAGCTTAGCATATTAATTGATAAATGGGAAGTTGACCATTTCAAAGTTAAAATCATCGAATTTGTCATATTGATGCTCAAAAAAAGCTGATCGATTAAAACATTGTTAGAGGGTTATAGCTAAATCTTGTTCATTATTTTGAATAATTAAATAAAGAAATGGACAAAATTAAGCACAACATATATATATATATATATAGTATAAAATGCAAACATAAAGTCATCATCAGATCAATAATGTGTGTATCATCTCATTTGAAAAGAAGTCATATTTCATCGCAAAATACTTGTAAAATTAGCATAATTTATTTTTTTTAATTTGTCACGAAAAAGCAATAGTTTGTTTTTAAATCAATATATCAACATCATTATGTTAAAATTCGTCCATCTTGTGTGATCATCTTAAGGTTGTTTTAAATAATGTAAGGTATATTGGGAATATTATTATCTATATACGTACTAGTAAGTGCTTACTTGCTTCGCAAATTTTATATATCTGATAATACACACAGAAACATTTATGAGAGATAAGAAAACCTATTTTAAATAGTTGAACAAATGGGAAACAGAAAATATCAGTATCTTTATAATTATACATGAATTTGTTATTTCGATCTATAAAAGTACTTTTGCACCTGATGGACTCTACTAGTATTAAAGAGATGCAAAAATGTTTGGTTAACCTATAAAATATAACAACTACTTTTATAACACCCATTACCGTGTTACATTCTTAGGCATTTATATATATAGTAATTACAAATATTTGTTAAAAAGTCTTCTTTTCATAAACAGAAACATAACAATACACAATTTTATTACAGGTTAAGAAAACTACAATTACAACTCACAGTCCCCATACATCGTCCAAGTATTGTTTCGATTAATTGTTTTGCCTTTACTGTAATATTCTTCTGTTTTTTATTAAGTATGTAATGCTCTTTTTTTTGTAATAAATAGCCTGACTTACCTTTCCAATATCTTCTTTAATGCATTGCATTGTTTTAAATGATATCTGTGAATCAGCTACTATAAATCTTTCATTGGACAAGAAAGATACAATAGTAATTGCTGACCCATCTTGTCTTTGTGGGTGAAACATTGAAACTGTACACCATTATCCTTTCGACTGTTCTTTATAAACAGACCAGAGAGAAATTTTGATAAATAATCTAAGATAACTCGCTGATGACCTTATATTGAATATTTAGTTACTAACATGTGGTAATTCGAACCTCTCGTATGAACAAAACATCCAGATATTTAAACATGTTTTCGAATTTATTAAATGGTTTGAGAGATTTCTTGTCATATGATGCTGAATATAGTATATTTGCGGTACATTCACATCATCACCATCATTACCAATTTTTCAGTTATTATTATTTCATCTTTTTTCAATAGCTAGACTCTTAAAGTATTGTATATTTTGAAATATTGCATGCTCATATTAATATTGTATTGTTATATATTGAAATTCGGAATGGACTTCATAAGTATGGTTTACTTGTGTCCAATTCATTTTACTTTGAGTAAATAAAATATGTTTAAACTAAGTAATATAAATGATGCGATATATTTGGCAATCGCTTAAACATACTGACATTCATTCGATTCATGTTGATCGATCGTTTATCGTCTGTGTAATATTCTATAAAAATTTAAAAATGAAAGCAGGCTTATAGTTTGGTACTCCAGATGCGCGTTTCGTCTGCATCAGATTCATCAGTGGGGCAGTTGGGAAGCCAAATCTAATATGAAGTTGAAAAGCATTTAAAAAACTGAAAAAAAACTGTCAAATACGGTTAAAGAATCTATGCCTTGCGGCAAAAAGAAACCTTAGTTCGAATAATTCAACATTTTATCAGCAGTCAAAATCAGAAAATGAAATATCAATGATATTTCATGTCAACACAAAAAAATGCTGACTAAAGGGGTCGTGACACTAGCTGTTTCATTATATTTAAACCAATGATATTTGTCTTTTACGTCTTTTTTTCTTTTGACCACATAATATTTGAAGAATCGGCTATTTTGTATAAAACAATATTGTTTTCATTCATTTCCTGAATCTGTTCATTCTAATGACACATACATTCTTTATTTGTTTGAGGTAAAAGTGGCAGCCATATTGTGTATTTTTTTTAAAAGTTTTTATATATTCAGGGTTTTGACCCTTAAATGTACTCAATGCAGTCATATTTTGTGTAAGAAAAAATCTTTTGGATAAATTAAATGTGCAGTTTAAGAGTTAAGGTTCTGGGATAACTTCCATCTTTGCTTTAAAAATTTTTATTTATTTTTTTTGAATAATAAAAACATCCGTTCTAAAGTTTTTACTTCGGAGGCAAACACTAGCGGGGTCTAGTCTTTGCGTCATACAAATATACATTTATTTTCATTTAGATGCTTTGTTTATGTCTGCCATTTAGAGAGTCAACTTTGGGAAAGAGTTTTCACTTCGATTCGGGAAGGTTGCGCATATGTGCATTAGTACTAATTTTATAACTATGAACATATGAGTTGGACGAATCCAACGACAAGTAAGCTTCAGTGATTGACAGTGAATTATGTGACTAGACAATTAAGACATCACTGATAGAGTACAATATGAATTTGTGCATCTAAGAAAGATTTCATTTAAAGCTTGAATTCTTTGGTGTCATTTTATGTCATTTTGTTTTTCTTTGATGACATATTTGTTTGTTTTTATAGTGATTAAGATTATAAAACAATGTTGACTGCTGTACCCCTATTTTTGACATTTTGACCTATTATGTCTGTTTGTTTTGTTCAGACATTGTTGTCAATATAATGGAATTTTAAGCGACTGTCGTACAAGTGAGAGGTTTAGTTAGCTATAAAACCAGATTTAATTCACCATTTTCTACATAAGGAAATGCCTGTACCAAATCAGGAATATGACAGTTGTTTTCCATTCGTTTGATGGATTTTGACATTTGATAAGGGACTTTCCGTTTTGAATTTTCCTTGGAGTTCGGTATTTTTGTTATTTTACTTTTTAACAGGATTTGAAAAAAAAAATCATTAAAGAAATACGAACAAACGGCACACTATATTATTAGTTAATTCATTGCATATATTCAAGTATATAGTGGTATGTTTGCAGAACAAAATACTATACATTTACACATATGCAAGTAGGCGTTAAAAAGGTAGCTTTACAGCCTTATTTTTTTCAAAAATTATTACCGAGGTAACTTGAAAGGAAGAGAAGTACACAGATCATTAATAATTATGGCATATTTAAAAGCGTTTATTGCTCCAGGTAATGCTTAGATTTCGTCTACTTCTGATATGACTATCATGATGCAAGTGCTGGTTCAGCATCATTAACTTAATTGCCAAAAATTCCAAAACGGCAACCTGGGTACGCTTTTAAGGTCGGGTTTAACCTGTGACCATTAACAGCTTTTATTTCAACATGATTACTTTTAATTACATAAAACGTACCCATGGTACGTTCTTGTAGTACTCCGAACGACAGTGACACGTTCAGCTTCTGTAAACCATATAAAAATAAGGAGATGTTGTATGATTGCCAATGAGACAACTATCCACCAAAGTTATAATTAAGTTGATGTATATATAAGCAATTATAGGCAACCGTACGGCCTTCAATAGTGAGAAAAACCCATACCGTATAGTCGGCTATAAAAGGCCCCGACATGAAAATTTGAAACAATTCAATTGAGAAAACTAACGGCCTAATCCATAACAAAAGAATTAACGAAAAACAAATATGACATACATGAACCAACGACAACCACTGAACTACAGGCTCTTGACTTGGGACAGGCACATAAAGAATGTGTCGGGGTTAATCATGTTTATGAGCATTCAACCCTCCTTCTACCCAGGGACAGTGGTGTAACAGTACAAGACAAGAACAACTTATAAAAATCAGTTGAAAAGGTTCATGCATAGTTCGGTCAAAATAAATATAAACATCCATTAGATAGACATACATAATATTGTTTTGCTTGTAAAGTTGGTTATATTTCCTAACCAGTGTATATTTCTTACGGATAACATTATGAAGGGTGCGACGGTTTAGTTTATTAGGTTACTTATTACCGCATGATTGCAAGGGAGGTAATTGTTGACACACTAGATTTCTATGATCTCAACTTGATCGTTAACCAACATTCAATCAACATTGCAGTGTAGATATAGATATGTTTTTATAACTCACTTCAGAATTGTAAGAAAAATGTTCTCACCAGTACATTAGTTTTCAAGCTGGTTAGATTTACTTGTGAAGCGATGACCTTCATATTTCTGTCAGTTCAGGTTATTTCGAACATCATCCAATACGTTCCTAAAAGTGAAATGTCGAAACCTCGGGCTTTTAATTTGACAATAATGTATTAAAAGATGAAGATTTCCACTGTATAAATGGAAATTATACATATCTGATACGCTTTTATAAAGGGAAAACAATTAGAAATGTTACATTTTAGCAAATAATGGATTATATTGAGGTTCTGTGTATTCATATTATTTATATATCTCTCCTTACATTTAAAAAAAATATCGGGATAATTTCCAACCCATTTAGCTCACCGCAAACAATATTTTTTATAGTATAGTAATTATTATTATAACTATCTCTTTGTCCATTATTTTATAAAAAAAAACTAATTTTTTTGAATTTCAATAGATAATTGTATCAAACGTTTTTGCCGATGCACGTGTACGTGTGGAATGTGTAAGTTTTGATGGGTTTTTCTTTGCTATCTTTACTGCTCGCAAACAGGAGCATCCTTCAGGGTAAATATTGTATCATATTCTAAAAGTGTTTTAAGTTTCGTAAAGATATGTTCAGGCGGATTGAGAGGACGTAAAGATATGTTGAGGCGGATTGAGATGACGTAAAGATATGTTGAGGCGGATTGAGATGACGTAAAGATATGTTGAGGCTGATTGAGGTGACGTAAAGATATGTTGAGGCGGATTGGTGTGACTTAAATATATGTTGAGATGGATTGAGATGACGTAAAGATATGCTGAGGCAGATTGAGGTGACGTACACTTATGTTGAGGCGAATTGAGATGACGTAAAGATATGTTGAGGCGGATTGAGATGACGTAATAATATGTTGAGGCGGATTGAGATGACGTAATAATATGTTGAGGCGGATTGGGGTGACGTAAAGATATGTTGAGGTGGATTGAGATGACGTAAAGATCTGTTGAGGCGGATTGAGATGACGTAAAGATATGTTGAGGCGGATTGAGGTGACGTAAAGATATGTTGAGGTGGATTGAGATGACGTAAAGATATGTTGAGGTGGATTGAGGTGACGTAAAGATATGTTGAGGCGGATTCAGATGACGTAAAGATATGTTGAGGCGTATTGAGGTGATGTAAAGATATGTTGAGGCGGATTGAGATGACGTAAAGATATGTTGAGGCTGACTAAGGTTGACGTAAAGATATGTTGAGGCGGATTGAGATGACGTAATAATATGTTGAGGCGGATTGGGGTGACGTAAAGATATGTTGAGGCAGATTGAGATGAAGTAAAGATCTGTTGAGGCGGATTGAGATGACGTAAAGATATGTTGAGGTGGATTGAGGCGGATTGAGGCGGATTGAGGTGACGTAAAGATATGTTGAGGTGGATTGAGGTGACGTAAAGATATGTTGAGGCGTATTGAGGTGACGTAAAGATATGTTGAGGCGGATTGAGATGACGTAAAGATATGTTGAGGCGGACTGAGGAGCGTAAAGATATGTTGAGGCGGATTGAGGCGGATTGAGGGGACGTAAAGATATGTTGAGGTGGATTGAGATGACGTAAAGATATGTTGAGGCGGATTGAGGTGACGTAAAGATATGTTGAGGCGGACTGAGGAGCGTAAAGATATGTTGAGGCGGATTGAGGTGACGTAAAGATATGTTGAGGTGGATTGAGATGACGTAAAGATATGTTGAGGCGGATTGAGGTGACGTAAACATATGTTGAGGCGGATTGAGGTGACGTAAAGATATGTTGAGGTGGATTGAGATGACGTAAAGATATGTTGAGGTGGATTGAGGTGACGTAAAGATATGTTGAGGCGGATTGAGGTGACGTAAAGATATGTTGAGGCGGATTGAGGTGACGTAAAGATATGTTAAAGGCGGATTGAGATGACGTAAAGATATGTTGAGGCGGACTGAGATGACGTAAAGATATGTTGAGGCGTATTGAGGTGACGTAAAGATATGTTGAGGCGGATTGAGATGACGTAAAGATATGTTGAGGCGGACTGAGATGACGTAAAGATATGTTGAAGCGGATTGAGGTGACGTAAAGATATGTTGAGGTGGATTGAGATGACGTAAAGATATGTTGAGGCGGATTGAGGTGACAAAAAGATATGTTGAGGCTGAATAAGGTTGACGTAAAGATATGTTGAGGCGGATTGAGATGACGTAACAATATGTTGAGGCGGATTGGGGTGACGTAAAGATATGTTGAGGCAGATTGATATGACGTAAAGATCTGTTGAGGCGGATTGAGATGACGTAAAGATATGTTGAGGCGGATTGAGGCGGATTGAGGTGACGTAAAGATATGTTGAGGTGGATTGAGATGACGTAAAGATATGTTGAGGCGGATTGAGGTGACGTAAAGATATGTTGAGGTGGATTGAGGTGACGTAAAGATATGTTGAGGAGGATTGAGATGACGTAAAGATATGTTAAGGCGTATTGAGGTGACGTTAAGATATGTTGAGGCGGATTGAGATGACGTAAAGATATGTTGAGGCGGACTGAGATGACGTAAAGATATATTGAGGCGGATTGAGGTGACGTAAAGATATGTTGAGGCGGATTGAGGTGACGTAAAGATATGTTGAGGCGGATTGAGGTGACGTAAAGATATGTTGAGGCGGATTGAGGTGACGTAAAGATATGTTGAGGCGGATTGAGGTGACGTAAAGATATGTTGAGGCGAATTGAGGTGACGTAAAGATATGTTGCGGTGGATTGAGATGACGTAAAGATATATTGAGGCGGATTGAGGTGACGTAAAGATATGTTGAGGCGGATTGAGGTGACGTAAAGATATGTTGAGGAGTATTGAGATGACGTAAAGATATGTTGAGGCGGATTGAGGTGACGTAAAGATATGTTGAGGCGGATTGAGATGACGTAAAGATATGTTGAGGCGGATTGAGGTGACGTAAAGATATGTTGAGGCGAATTGAGGTGACGTAAAGATATGTTGAGGCGGATTGAGATGACGTAATGATATGTTGAGGCGGATTGCGATGACGTAAAGATGTTGAGGCGGATTGAGGTGACGAAAATTTAAAATTGTTAGATCTTCCTTTTTTCGTCAGTTTTAGTTGTTTAAAGTAAAATTTGTCGGACAAAGTGGCATAACTCAGATATATATTGGATAAAACTGTATGTGTCTTACTACTAGGGTTGTTGTTCTCTTTGTTACAGGTACCCAATTGAAATAAATGAAACAAAAAGTGAAACATTCGATACCTTTTTGATATTTAAAATCTGTGTAAAGGAGCAGAATGACAAATAGTCATTATGTGTTTTTGATGCAGAACGTTATTAATCAACACTATTTTGATATTCCCTTTGCAACTATTAAAATTTTAGTTGTAATGCCTCTGATATTAGGACAGCTGTTTCAAGAAACGTTTTCGATGAAGCTTTACTGTTTCGTGTCATAATTTTTTTAATCTGAGGTAAATTCAGTAAATAAAATTACTATCCGATTTTTACATTTAGGCCTATATTCCTTTATTTCTGATTTCAACCCCAATAATCAGTTGTTATATACTCGCTACGCCTCGGTAAAACAACAAATAGGTAGATACCGAACTGAAGACAGATACAAAAAAAGATATTACGTCAATTGTAATTTAATGTGAACCAGCACAATATGGATAATTAGGACTAGTTTTCAAATAAAATGTTCCACGAGCATTGCGTGAAATATGGTATCCCATCTCTTGACAACCAATCCCACATCCGGTACAGAGTAAGTTCTTGTAATCATCTTCACTATCACATGGATGAGATGTAAAATGGCAATTTGTATTTATCGATTCTATAAAGTAGTAAACCGACCTCATATGACCACAGCTATAAAATGGTGCAATCTCTGCAATTAAAATAGTATATTAACAGTGAATTTAACGATACAAATCTAGCAAATTATGAAAAAGAAAAGAAAAGAGTTGTTCAGTTTCGCGAAACAACTATAATTTTCCCATGACTTAATCAGCCGTTTCAGAAGGACCATGGGTAATTTCATTGTTATCACCCGTAAATGAAAAACGATGTCAGGTTATTGGTCGAATTTTAATTGTTTGGAACGTTTTAAGCCAATCGCCGCGTTTTAGAGTACGTTTGTGAAAAAAAACATCCAGAATGCATTAGATCATGTAATGGCATGAGAGATATGTAAAGTTATTGATACTACTTTTATATTGATATTACCTCTAGCATTACAGAACTTGTAAAGACAGAACAGCTACCACACTTGAAGCAGATTGTAATTATCACATGCTAAGCTGGTCGTGAAAGGTTTGTCATACTTTTTTTTGTAAAATTAGATCTTCGCGTATTTATACTTCGTTTGCTTGTATGCAATGCATGTCTAATGAAGCAAGATCATCAAAATCTGTACGTTTGATTTTATTGTTCCATTGAAGATAACCATGATAAATCTTGGAGTAAAGTAATTTTCGTCAGTGTTTTGTTTTTCGATGAATATTTGTACTTCATCATAATGTTCTGTTTTTATCATTAATATACATTTTTTATTGCTTCAGATAATGTGTTAATTATATCTGAACATTTACCAATAAGAGTTTCTGCAATTATGTTACATTTTCAAATATAATACGGACAAAAAACTTCAGCTATACTTACTATCAAATAAGCAACCCGGCTGAATTTTGCCACCATTTGGATAAAAATCGACATGTCCCATTGTATGTCGAAATCCAAGCGCTGAAATGATTTGTTGAAAATGTCGCATGACAAACGAACATTGCAAATATATTATTTTTCTTTAAGTATAGTGACATTTTAAACTTGGTTTTGTATATTTACTTTTACAGGATTAACAAATGGACACAATTCTAACCTATGCAGAAAGATAACTTCAATTAGAATTATTGTTTGCTTTAAATCATCTTATAATATGTCAGTCTTTTATCGGTTTTGCTTCTTTTTAAATTTGCAAAAACATTGATATTCGATATATGGTTTTTTTCTAAAAAAAATGTTCTGATCCCCAATTTGATGAAAAAAAATATTCTTGTCAAGCAGATGACAAAAAAAAAGTTCGAATCCAGATTTTCCTCATATAACTTATAGTGTTAAATTTTGAAAAAATAATTTGATTGATAGCGTCGAAAAACTAAAAAAAATTGACTCAGAAAAAAAATATACCCCCCCCCCCCCTTTGAATTTAAATGGTTGCTCCCTTAGAAGAATTCGATATTTTCTGTTCTGTAGTTGTGGTATGTGATTTGGGTTATCTTTCAAGATATAAGTTTTTGGAACTTGTTTTTCTGTTCTTATTCTCATACCTCGAACTCTATCTGTCGACTAATTTTTTTGTAATGTTATAGTACAATTCCAAGATTCATTGCATATTTGAACATAACTGAATAATGCGAGGTCTTTTTATGAATTCTAAAAGATTGAAAATATGCAGCATTTGATATGTTATTGTATACGCTTACTACGGTCCTAAGATCTGTACTCTACAAAACAATGACATAATAAGATAACACTTACCACCATCAGTATGAATAATGTCAACAAATGTAGCATCTGAAGGGTCCAATCTTACTCTTTGATCAGCGGTATTAAATTCTGGACCAGCCGGATCTAGACCTATTTAAAATCAACACATAACTCAATAGATATAAAATCGTAAGAGCAATATGAAAATAAGGAGATGTGGTACGATTGTCAATGAAAAAATTGTTCATTAAAGAACAAAGATACTAACAACTAGAGGTCACCATATTCCCTGAAATAATAGAAAAAACAAGAATGTGTCCATAGTACACGGATGCCACACTCGCACTGTCATTTTCTATGTTCAGTGGACCGTTAAATTGGGGGTCAAAACTCTAATCTGGCATTAAAATTAGAAAGATCATATCATAGGGAACATGTGTACTAAGTTTCAAGTTGATTGAACTTCAACTTCATCAAAAACTACCTTGACCAAAAACTCTAACCTGAAGCGGGACAGACGGACGGACGGACGGAAGGACGAACGGACGAACGAACGAACAGAAGCACAGACCAGAAAACATACCGTTTAGTCAACTACAGAAAGGGACAAAGTAAAACAAATGGAAAGAGGAAAAACAGCATGAAAAATTCTTCAAAACATTTAGCTTTTGTTCAGATGATAATTGTTCATTACATATGAGTTTATGCAACACTCAGTTTTCAGTTGGCTGTAAAATCATCTGTAAGATTGTCAATTGGCCCTAAAGTATCAATCTTGCAAACATCCCTGAAGATTGATTTGATTTAATTGAGAGATTAAAGAAAAAAAGTGTTTTTTTTCATTTTATATATCTATTATTGAATACCTTTAAACGTGTTCTATATGTGTGTTCTATCTTTTTGTTCCGTTTGATGCCACCATATTGCCTTGTACCACACATCTCTATTTTTATACGGATATGTTAAATGCTAACAAATGCTTGAAATATACGCTTCATTTCAAAAGCTATAAAATGACAAATTTTTATCGGTTTCACTGCTGCTGGTGGACTGCTAGTACCCGAGGTTGTCATCAGCTCAGTCTTCATTTCTTCGATACTGACATGATTTATAACATAAGTTTCAGAAAATATCCGCTGATAAATTAAGAAATTATCAAGAATACTAGATCACAGTCACCCGCGACATAGCGGATCCGTGACTCATTTGAAGTACCTACGCCTTATTTATAGCCTGGATTTTTAGTATTCGTTTGTCATCTGATAAAGTCATGCTGATTATAAGGTGCACAGTTTTCTCTGCTTTCAAAATCTTTCTGTTTGATTCCGTCCTGGTTTTCTTACTACAACCGGAAACTACATGTGACATATGTCAGAGATTAACCGAAATTCTATTATATATATGCATGTAAATAATTCACTTGCACTAATTGGTGTAAAAAGTTACATTTCTGTATATTTTCAGGACAATATATTTTATGAAGGAATGTATATACGCTTTTTGTTTTTGTTTTTGTTTTAGTATTTTAATTCTTAATTTTTGATTTTTAAATTAGTAGTATTAAAATTAAGAGCTTAAAATACCGTGAGACACGGGTGCTCCGATAACGGAGGAATTTACTAAGAGAAAAAGAAGTCATATATACTATTGGTATCGGTATCGGATTCGACCCGGACTTGTTGATTATTGGTACAGGAATGGTGTAATCTTTAATCAACACCATTGTCCTATATAATATTTGTCATATATAAAATTGAATTCTTTGATTCTTCGTTTTTACGTCATGCCGCTAACAAATTGGACCTCGTTATTTTAGTAGTATAGATAAGAAGGTCAGATAAGGTTCAACCCCACCTCAGACAGAGATGACCTTGGATAAATAATGCCATTATTTTTATGTCCATTTTGGTTATAAAGTTCGTAATGTTACTATGGCTGTATACATTCCTTGCTTTTAATGATTCGGTTTGAACGTTCCTGATGAAGGTAAATCCGGAAAAGCTCTTTGGACGCACGAAATTTGTCAAGTTTTATTTTTATTTATTGCCTTATTATTATAACTGTATTCATTCCATAGGATAGTGTGCTTAGACATGAATGTTGCTGTTGTAATTTCTGCTTTTTGCTATGTTTTTGTATAGTTATAAGCAAATATATACGACGGAAACTCTTTAAATTGACTAACTACAGTGTTGTCTGTCTTTCATCAGGCCTATGTTCTCCACGGTAATATTGGTAGCGTAAATGAATAATTCGTAGTAAAATAATATATTTATTACGGCACAACGCAACAATGTACAGACTAAACTATCGTAATATATTTAACATGTAATTTCCAACGTATTCTCAAGATACTTGTCTATAAATAATTTGTCATGTAAATTTGCATAAATAGGCGGAGCTGATCTCAATAATAATATTTCGCTTGTGTTTTTGGAACTAGGATAAGGAATTGCCAAACGATATGTGTATAGTAAATAATTTAGACCATGCGAGGCATACAGCTATCTGCGCTGCTTCTTACCTCTAAAGGAACCACCCGGGATCTTTGCATTTGCCAAAATGTAAACAGCAAAGACTGAGGAATTTGACCTTTGCACTGGTATTTAATTTTAAAATACCGGAAGTAAATAGTCTAAGCCGGAACAGAAATGAAACGTCAAACGCTGACAAAAACATGGGAGTCCTCGACTCAAAATGATCCTTTCTTCGTAAGAAAATAGGTATATCTATTAAGATAAAGCATATATTAACTTTAGCTTATGCTTCTTGTGTAGTTTTGGATCCATACTTAGAATATTTACCAAATGGCTGCGCTTTGAACAGTACATGACGAAATTGCGCCATTTTTGGCACTGATAATATAGTTAATAACTAAAAGTGTAACGTACGCTTTCTGTGCATTAAAAAGTCACAGAAACTATAAATACATATTATCACATTTTACACTCTCAAAACATAAAACTGATATTAAATCATTAATTGGGAACCACAAGTGCACATTTACAACACTGCCACCAAACTTGTGACTAAACTAAGGGATAAATAAATACGGCCGTCAAATCTGTTGTCTGTTCTCCGAGAAGGAGAGGCTCTCATCATTGGTAGCGTGAATAAATAATCAATAGTAGAAAATGATACTTTTATTAAACTTCTAGAACAGCCGATATATTTCCATACATGTACAATATTCGAGCAACAATTATATAATTTACATACGGGGCGGAGCTACTAAAATAACATTCTTTCTTTTGTATTTTTGTACGGACCAAACGGGATTATCTTAATAAATTCTACAATGACAACGTAAATAAATGCAAGGCATACAGCTATCTGCGCTGCTTCTTACCTCTAAACTACGACCCTTACTTGTAATATAAACAGCGAGGCATACAGCTAAATGCGCTGCTTCTCACCTCTAGGAACCCCCGGGCTGAGCCTTGCTGCAAGCCAAATGTAAACACAGCAAAGACTGACGAACGTGACGTTGCACTGGTATTTATTTGAAATTCCCGGAAGTAAATATTCTAAGCAAGAAGAAAAACATAACGTCAAACGCTGACATAAGATATACAAGTCCTCGACTCAAAATGCTTATAATAATACACTTTTGTTACTACAAAAATCAAGACATATTATTTCTTCCAGTTGAGAGCTCACAAATGAACACTTTTGGGTTCACGATTACAATATTTACCCAACGGTAACGTTCTGAATAATACATGACAAATTTGCGCCATATATGACGTTATCGATACATCTAATAACATAAAGTAAAACGTACGTTAATTACTCATTCAATATACTAGAAATACTAGAAATAACTTCTGACAACTCATATAAACTCTCTTAATACAATAATAACAATATTTCTTTACTTGGAAATAACCAATACACACATTTACAACAGTTGCTATTAATTAAGGTTTCATTCGCTGTATTAATGGTCAAAACTTTTGTTTTAAAGCAAAGAAAAAGATAATGTTAACTTACCAGTAATTCTCCCTATAGGGACTCTTTGACCCACGTAACCAGCAACATGAGCACCAAGACTATGTCCGACTATGTGCATATCATTATAACTGACCCCTCCAGCACTATGTAACAGTTTGATCAAGTTAGCTGTAACAGCACCGACAACCCGGGTATTTGCTACAGCTTGGTTGTAATTGTCATAGGCTCCTCTCGTCCATATCACAACAATTACATTTACATCAAACTAAAAGTAAACATATTTATTCCACGAAAACATGGACAGTTAGAACGAAATTATAAGTAATGAAGCAAAACTGTTACATTTGCAGGCTAGCTAATATTCATTTCACATCATGTTTTTTCGCAATTAAGAACAAAAAAGCAATTTAAATTTGTTCAATTTACTTGACACTTTACCAATAAATAATTATTTACTTCTACTTTGAACACTTTTATCGTAAAAGGTTTTTTCTGGATTTATACATTTCAAGTAAGATAGTCATGTATTCCGGCAAGTTAAAGGTAGAAACCCCTAAATTGATTTAACACCCTTTTCATTAAGTATTTAGTGTAAACAATATTTTATTATGAATTATACAATTACAATATATATTTACATTCACAAAAGGATTCAGAAACAAGCAACAAGTGCTTATGTCAATCTTAAGTCTTTGAGGCTTCTTGTTTGTACGTTGATGTTCTAACAATATGAATTATGTCTAAACAGAAGACCAACATATAGACTGCCACAAGATAGTTTCGAAGTGCAATTTTTATTTGAGGAAACTTTTAGTCTTTATCCAAAATATATAAAGGATATACAAAGTATAGGGCGGACATCATTATCCAAATACAAAATTATTTAAAAGAAAACGTATTTATTGTCTCCCAAATGCAAATGGATTCATCTTTGTTAAAGTTTATTTCAAAATACAGCTCAGCCGCAGTAACTGCGTGCAGGAGAGAAAATACATACATGTTTATATTTGGCAAACGCATCGATGTCTTCAATGCATGATACTTTACAAAAACGTGTAAATTTGAAATCTATAAATAGATTTTTTTTTACTTTTCCTTAATGTAAATTTGTTTATTTGTTTTCTTTTAAATGTATTAGATTTGAAAATAAATATTTTAGAGTCTGTTTTTCAAAATGAAACTTTTTTTTTATCTTACACCTTCTCGGTATTTGAAATTTTGAGACACTGAGAAATTTCTCGATATTTTAACTGTTTGGGAAAATTAATAATAAGCAAGCAACCATATACGACAAAATCTTAGTATTTTTTTATATTTGCAAATTGAATTTTGTCGCATATATTAAATATTGTGTTAATTCTCTTACTTTCAGCAGTGGGTCTTTCATTAGTGAAATCCAAGGGTTATTTTCAAGACCATGAAAACCATGAATTATGAAAACGGTCTTGTGTGAAAGTCCAAAGTGCGTTGACCTTAATGACCCACCACCACCGTTAGGGTTCAAAAGTTGACTTTTGCTAGGGTTCGCTTGTGTGTATAAATGAAATGAAGTATTGATATGGTCCGGAGATAGCGGTAGGTAACCAAAAGCGTTGAGGAATGGTGCAGAATTACTAAAACATCCAATGTGATCGTAGCATACATGTGATGCTGAAATATAAGATATAATAGAAAAACAAAGGATATGGGGTATTCATCCAAGACATGCACAGCAAAAAAACACACAAAAAGCAAAGGAATATATGTTTAAAAATCAGTACATGCACAGCAAAAAAACACACACAAAGCAAAGGAATATATGTTTATTATCATCTTCTATTTTGTTTTTAATATTTTTAGATATTACTATGTTGTAAAGGAAACAAAATGTTATAGAAGCAATTTACTCTAAAAGTGAAAAGATACAAGTTCAATTCGAACCTTGCTAAACTAAATAAGTTTGTTCAAGGTTTGGAAAAATTGGAGTTGTTAAATTATTTTGTACTTACTACTATTTTCTGCTAGAAGTACTGATATTCTTGCTGAAAAGACCAAACACACAAGCACATTTAAAGACCACATGTTCCTCAGTCTTCTAGATAGGGTCAACTTTACAATAGACAGGTAAGAAAATCTACTGATAATTCAAGACATATCTGATATAGGTTAAAATGTTCAATTGCACCTATGCTACACCGACTTTAAAAGTTCACATTGTCAAAAGTCAAAACAATAAGAGCCTCGATTTCGACATACAATATTGAAAGGATTATTCCTTTGTAATTTTTTCTCATTATAAAAAAATATGTCTTCGCTTTAATATAAGTATGTATAATAGCAAAATTATGTTAAGTTCAGTTGTTTTGTATTTATTTTTATCTCCCAGTTAACTCAAATTAAATTCCTAGGAAATTGTGTTCTATGAAATAAAACTTACTTCTATTTTGATTATCATAGATACCAGTTATTGGGTTTCTCATGTTTCAAGAACCTAAGAAGTTAAAATATGAATAAATGAAAAGAGTATCCAAAACTGAATACAAACAATAAGAATATATAAATTTATACTTTCAACGTAAATAGTTAGTCTAAACTTCTCTTTTACGAACTGTTATGAGCACAGCATTCTTCTAATTCTAGTAAATAAATAATATTATTGTATAAACCTCGTCCGTCCGAAACGCCTTCCCGGATTCACCTTCACCAAGAACGGTCAAACCTTAACATTAAACGACGAGAAGTGTTGTTTCGAGTTTTTTTACTTTCATGATACAGTGGGATGAGTTAATGATATCACCAATTCTAATGCAATTAGTTTGTATCAATGGCTCTGATTGGATGACGACAAGCGTAAAATTCTCAATCTCCCTGTCTGTAACTAAGGAAGCGGACATTTTGAATTCCGGAATATATTGACATGTAATTTCTTCAATAATAAGCAAAAAAAACTCACATTTGGACCTACAAATCTTCTATTCATCAAATTTTATTACATTTTGAAGCGGATAAGAACCCAGGCTGCCGTTTCATAAAACAATCGCTAATAACGACTAACGTTAATATTAGCGTGCGACTAACGACTACATAACGATTACGCTTACGTGCGTTTCATAAAGCATACGTAGACGAATCGTTAGATTTTTCGATCGTTAGACAATCGCTATTTATTTTTAGAACGGGAATCCCCGGATATCGCACTCTTTGTCGTTGGAGAAAAATATGCTAGTAAGCGACTGAGAGTAAAAAAAGACTCCAAGTACAAGAAATCCCAATATTAAATGTTTCCTCCAACGAGGTAGACTTAATAAAATTGTTTCCTATTTATTAAAGAATAATTCATGCAAGTCCTAGATTAGTTGGAAATTTTCACATGACACACGATTTATTTTTGCGTAGCCAAATTGGCCTTTGTAGGCTACGCGTACCCGCAACCGATTTTATAATAAACTTTAATATGATCGGGAATGAAACGTGAAAGATACACGAAAAATATCGGATATTTCCTGACTTTGTGAATTCAGTGAAGATAATGGCAAATAATATTTTTTTAATTTGTATTATTAGTTATAAAAACCGAAATTAAATGTAAATGCACATTAAAAGAATAAAATTATACAGAATATGAATAAATATATGTAAAAAAAACTCGAGTGAAATATTATTTGTTATATTTGTTTCGCGATCATTACAAGTAATATTTAAAAAAGTCACATTATGTTCCTGTAATATAAATCTATACTACTCAAGGAAGAGACTGATTTCATTGAGCAGTAACTCCTCTGAAACCATACAAAGTCGGAAATATTTGTGATATGACGTATACATGTAGTGTTTTGTAGTACTTATTTTTCTTTGAAACAATCTTTTTTCTACAGAAAACGACAATTTTATTTAGTAAATATCAAAATTCGAAGACCTTTATCAATCCGTGTCTTATACGCTTTCGTGTATGCTCAGTCGGCGTACTACCCGCGAAAATTGATTTTTGTTTTGTTTCAATTCTTGCCTAATTGTACTGCGATTTCGCGGGCATCTTCTAGTAATATAGAATGCTGTCAGGATCAGTAAACTATGTTTTTATAAAAATTTAATACTTAACTGAACAGTACGTCAATTAGTCTTCGGTGAAAATTTTAGGATGGTCTATCTGCCAACCTCGCGATGCAGCGATTAACTTCCGGAATCAATCGTACGGCGGTCATACCCCGTGGGCATGACAGAACTATTTACATATGTAACAATAAAATGTATTTTATATGGCCATATATTCTTGCAATCACGTATTTGCTAATTTGTAACAACAATTTGTAAAGAATTCAAACATAATTTAAGGTGACTCGAATGTTGCTGATACTGGAATTTTGACTCGAACTCGAAGTTTAACTTGGAAAGTAACTCGAAATATAACTTGAAGATCATCTCGAACTTGAACTCGAACTATAATTGATTGTAATTAAGCCACATGCAATTTACCACCTTGCAACTCCTAGAATGTGTGTTCCAGATATAATACACACAAAGAATTTTGAATACCACAAAAGGAACTGATAGGATTCAGTTTTATTCATGTTTGATAAAACATGAGGTGTGCATGTACGCCCAGTAGCAAGTTAAATGCATATTCAGGTTAGAACCTATAATTATGAGATATCAATCTTGACCCCGAAATTTACTAGGCCGACATATATGGACCTACCAATCTTTACTAATGCCACCACATGCTGCATACTAATAGGAGAAACAGCAAATACCAACTTTCTTCTTTGGTTTCAACTTGCTGAGAATCGAATCCACGGCGATTCAAATATGAGTAAATATTTTATTTATTTCATGGCAGTGCTTAGGGTTCGAGATATAAGCAACCCCCCCCCTTTTATGTTTAAGTTTTGGCAATGGTGGCAATTTTTTTATGTATGAAATCCCCGGATAGAATTTATAAACTAGACACAACTATAAAGAACATCCAGTTAAAGTTGGATGTATTTGGAACAGTAATTTCAGAGGAGAAGAATTTAAAAATAATTTACGACGACGAACGTCAAGTGATGACATAGGCTAACATGGCCCTATTTTAGACTGTATGTGAAATGTTAAAGCTGCAAAAAAACAAGTACTAAATATCTTTTCGATGTAGACTATTTTTGACATATCAATTTTCAGAATAATTTGATGATTACTGAGTGATATTAAAGTCTGGGGACACGTGAGTTTTATAAGTTATAATTGGTGTAAGACTAGTTTCAGTAACTGTCAATCGGTACTTTATCTTTTTGATCGTTGGTTTTTTATGCCTTGTTGAGTTGAACCATTTTCAATATATCTTTATAATTCATTCTTATGTTGTACTGTTTTGTAACTTTTTTTTCATGAATACTCTAGCCAAAATCATGACTCTGCACCCAAGCGACATTACATATCCAAGTGTTAATACAGTCGAAAGTTGTTTACCGACAAGTGACCGTACAGTGAAAAATATTTAGTGACATGTGTTTTTAAAGATTTAGAACTATTTGTGAGTGTAAACATATTGAAGTTAAATTTGAGGAAAAACTATATATTAATTCTTTTTAAACACCTTACAAATTTTGAAAACAATTCTTTTATTAAAAGTCAAAACTTCAGCTGAACGAACACAAGTATTTCCATAATTTGGGTCGGAGCTCTTAGTTTTATTTCAATTTCCCCCCTGTTTTCTTGCCTTAAGAATGGGTTCGGCACCCCTCAATGTTTGAATATTAATGACATATACAAACGTTTTCTCATATACATTACAAGTAAGCCCCAGAGATAATAATGAAAAAAAACACGTATCCGAAAATTATTTCGAATGTCGGAGCCCCGCTTGAGAGTCCCCCGAATGACCACAATATCAAAAAAAAACA